TTCAGAGGAGCCATTTTTGGTTAATAAATTTAAAAGAGGTAAAATTTTCGGAGCTACGTTGGGCGGTAATGGTACGTCACTGAATTTCGACAAAATATTAGCTACAAGCAACCACAGAAGATCAAGACAATCATCATTCGGAACTATATCATTAGTGCTCGAATTACCAAGGGCACATCCATTAGGAAGAGTTGGAGGACAATTCCTAATTATGTCCTGGTGAGCCTGCTTGTCATATTCCTTCCCCAGGGCAGAATGTTGTCGAGGAGAGAGGAAAACAGTCTTTTTATAAGAACGAGAAGTCAGAGGTGAGGGTTGAGAATGCACAATTTGAGGTACGGTTGTAGTCGAAGAATTTACTGACTCAGAGTACAACCTTCTTACATTGGGATATAAAGCAGAAGCTTCTTGGAAAGAAATATTATCTTGAGTCATTCTAATTTTGATCGACTTTTGGCGACACTGTTCAGGACAGATCTTGTTCGTAGCAAAGTGTTTACCAGAACAGTATAAACACGAAGCAATATCTTCTGTAACATTACAACTCTCTCCCATATGCGGCTGCGCACAACGATAACATCTCGGTTTAGATCGGCACTGAGATTTAATATGTCCAAAACGGCAACAATTGTTGCATTGGATAATTGGGAGTTGATATGGGATAACGGGAATAGAGGTATAAAAAGAAAAAACTCTTTCAGGGAGATTTTGTCCTTTGAATGTTAAAACAACTGATTGGGTAGGGATCCAAGAAGCATGACCATCTAAAACTCGTTTTCTATTGAGGCGTCTGGCTTTTAGAACCATCCCACAGTAATCAGGAATAACTAAAGAGTCGACCAGCTCGTCCATGCATATTTCCGTTGGAATGCCTCTAATGACACCCATGCGTGTAACATTAAAAGTAGGAATTACTACAGTATAATTGTAACGAGCTAATAAAGGATTAATTAAAAAGTTATTAGCATCCTTACCAGTTTTAAATTCAACAGCAATACGGTTGCGGCCAATTTTTTTGACACCATCCTTAACTATATTGGTGATTTTGTTTTGCTTTAGGAATTGCCCGAAAATAATTGGTCGAATAGTAGTTCCAGTTGAAGGATTTGACTCAATCTTTGAAACATGTATAATAAATGGGCCCTTATCAAGATCAGAATAAGACTTATGACCCTCTTTTAATGACGGGTGTGTATATACTGATTGACTTGTTGATGTTGAAACTATGTTAATTTCATTTTGTTGCAACTTCAAAGAATCAGTAATAACTTTTTTAATGGGCTCACATTGATTTTCGAATTCAATACGTCGTTTTGTGCCGGATTGGCTAAATATTGGTGGTGATAGCTCCATCGGAGATTGAGTCAACTCCAACTCTCCATCAGGAGGATCCGGAGGATCCGGAGGAACCCGGTCCATTGCTTATACAGAAAACAAAATTAAATATTAATTAAGCACTTAAATAAATATACAAACGTAAACAGGTAATAATCCACAGCAACAAAATAGCGAGATAGCACAACAAAGAGCAAGCAAAATGACTAAAATAATCAGAACACAAAAAAGGTATAACTTATGTTGTTTTTGGATGAAGATAGTGCCTCTGATAGCTTTTTATCCGCAGGTAGTGAAAATGACAGTTTTTTAAGTATCAATGCGTTGTGTGACTCACTCAGTTCCTGTTTCTCTGATGTATCAAAAAATTTCAATGTTGTCCATATAAATGCCCAAAGCATTCCGGCTCATTTTTCTGATATGCTGGCTAATTTTGACTGTAAGAACATTCATGCCATACTTGTTTCAGAATCATGGCTTAAGCCATGTCTTCCTTCTAACGCCTATTCTCTGCCAGGTTTTAACTTGATAAGAAACGATCGTACGACGGGTGGTGGAGGTGGCGTCGCCATTTATATCCGAGCTCACATTCCTTTCACAGTTGTTAATATGTCGTCTCAGCTGCCCTCCTCGAATGCGGGTGAGCATCTTTTTTTGGAGATTAGTCTGTGCCATACAGAGGTGTTACTTGGTGTGTATTACTGCCCATCGTCGCGCATAAACTTTTTTTCCTCATTTGAAAATATATTGGAATCCCTTTGTCCCTCTTACAATCATACTATTATCATGGGTGATTTCAATACTTGTCTTCTTAAAAATGATTCCCGTTCAGCAACTTTTCACTCAATCCTTCAGTGTAATAATCTATTTTTGCCTTCTCTAAATGCCACGCATAATTTTCCCAACTGCTCTCCTTCGCTTCTAGACCTTATTATTGTCTCATCTTCTCAACATGTCGCCAAACATGGTCAATTCTCAGCTGATGCCTTTTCCTACCATGACCTGATTTTTCTTTCATACAAAATCCGTCCACCAAAGGTCAAGCCAAAGATTTTGTTGCAGCGCAGTTTAAATAGTATTAATGTCAATAACATTCGCGAGGATGCTTCTAAAATTAATTGGACGCGACTTCTTAATAGTGACTCCGTAGATGAGAAGGTGAATATTTTTACGACAGAACTCACAAGATTATACGATGTTCACGCGCCTATTCGTCCTGTGAAAATGAAACATCGTCCTTCACCGTGGCTTACCGATGATATTAAACGTTTGTCTGTGCGAAAAGCTGCTGCCAAAAATAAATACAAGTGTAGGCCCACTCCTTCTAACTGGGAAGCATATGTCAAACTTCGCAATCAATGCAATAAGGTGTGTAGGAATGCTCAACGCCATTTCATTCATACTCTGTCGAAGTCGAAGATCCAGCGAAAGTCTGGAAATTTCTAAGATCTCTGGGCATAGGAAAACAGCGACAAGTATCCTCTTCTAGTAGTTTAGATATTAATTTACTCAATAAACATTTTTCCTCTTTATATGACTGCGATACATCAAGCAAGTCTGATACTTTAAATTATCTTTCATCTCTTCCGTGCCCGGATCACTCATGTTTTTCTCTTCGTCAATTTTCTGACTGTGATGTTAAGAAGAGCATTATGTCAATAACTTCTAGTGCTGTGGGCGGCGACTCTGTTAGTAGGAAAATGATTATTCCCATCCTAGACGAAATTCTTCCTATTATCTCTCATATATTTAACCAATCCATTAATACGAGTATCTTTCCTTCTGCTTGGAAAGATGCTTATGTTACTCCGTTACCTAAAAAATCCAAACCACAATCCTTTTCAGACTATAGACCGATTTCCATACTACCATTCCTCTCTAAAGTTCTGGAACGCCTCATTCACAACCAACTATCCACTTTCCTCTTCAAAAATCATCTCCTAAATCCTTATTCAATCAGGTTTCCGTGCTGGTCATAGTACCACCACTGCACTAGTAAATGTTACAGATGATATCAGGTCAGGAATGGAACATGGAAAAGTAACGGTTCTCTGTCTACTAGATTTCAGTAACGCGTTTAATACCGTTGACTTTGATATACTGCTTGGCATATTACGCTCTATTAACATATCTCCAGCAGTGGTTGAATGGTTTCATAGTTACCTGTCTGGACGCCGTCAGCGAATACGCATTGAGGATTCCTTTTCCACTTGGTGCAACATTTCTGCCGGGGTGCCGCAGGGTGGCGTTCTCTCTCCATTACTTTTCGCTATATTTATTAGCTCAATTTCACGACAACTAGTTTCATCCTATCACCTTTATGCAGATGATCTACAAATTTATTCCCAAGCTACTCCTGACCAACTAACTTTTGCCATCAATACTGTAAACCGTGACCTTGAGTTTGTCTTTGATTGGAGCAAGTGTTACGGAATAAAAGTTAATCCTTCAAAAACTCAAGTCATGGTAGCTGGTAGCCCCGTTATGACTAATAAAATTGACTGGTCATGTTTACCTGCGATTTCATTTGGTGGAATTACTTTGACCCCCAGTGACTGTGTTAAAAATTTGGGCATAGCTATCGATAAAAACTTAACATGGCGGTCACAAATTGAGGAAGTTAGTCGTAAAACCTTTGCTGCTGCTGGTTCTTTGAGGCGGTTGCGTAACTTTTTACCAATAGCAACTAAGACTGCGCTTGCACAATCTCTTCTTTTACCAATCCTGGACTATGCCGATGTCAGCTATCTAGATCTAACTGAGGAGCAACTAAATAAACTTGAGCGGCTTCAAAATTTTAGTATAAGATTCATATTTGGATTACGCAAATATGATCATGTATCTGATTTTCGCACTAAGCTCAAGTGGTTGCCAATTCGTCTTCGTCGGAATGCCCATATTGTTTCCTTGCTCTACAGTATACTGTTTAATCCTTTCTCTCCAATGTATCTCAGGGAACGTTTTAATTACCTCCACGATACGCACTCCCGTGTCTTGCGATCATCAGAGAACCTAAAACTGCAGACGCCAATCCATTCAACAAAGTTTCTCGACAAGTCTTTTGCAGTTCAGGCTGTCCGCCTTTGGAATAAATTACCAGATGATATAAAGCGTGCTCCATCATTGAATGTCTTTAAAAATAAGGTAAAAGAGCATTACTTATCTGTCACTTTCTGAACATTAAATTAGGCTATTGTATATTTATTATTATATATGTATATATTTATATGTGTGTATAAATTAGTATGGAAAATTTTTATTTCAACTGTGTAGGACACCATTTACTACCCATCTTTTTTATGTAACTGTCCAGTCTAACTTTTGGTTGCCTGGAAGATATTGCTTTTTAGCGATAAGGCCGCCAATTGTACTGTTTATTGTTATTAATTGTTATGTTGATTTTATTTTCAAGTACAATAAAGTGTTCATTCATTCATTCAATTTTAAATACAGGGGTGAAATCCGAACACATTTCTTAAAAGAGACAACAACAAATCAATTCCCATAATTATAATAGTCATCGACGTTATACTAATTCACGCACACATATACTCAACACAATTACACATAAATTATAATGATTAAACGTCAGCATTCGACGTGACTCACGATTACAGGGCGAGATAGAGTCCCGGCTGATGTGCGGCATCCTGACGGGCGTGAAGCGCGCGTTCCGGTTCGCGGGGGCGGGGGCGGGGGCGGACGCGGTGGGGGGCGCGCACGTGGGGGCGGTGCACGCGCTCGTGCACGTGGCGGGTGCGGGCGTGGCCGTGCACGCGCTGGCGCTGCTGCAGCACGCTAGTGACCCCGCGCTGCCCGCCACCGACCGGTAGCTATTACATTGGAATATACTCTCATTCCATTTGCGGAGCGACCTGGCGTTCTGATATACGAGCGATCTGTCGCTCGGTTCAGATGTTGATCTCTGTGTTTATGATTTCTTTGTCTTACAGTTTGTGGAGAGCGTCCGTCGTTGTTGTTAATGTGAATTTTTGAAAACCAGGTGGCGCCGCTTCCTCCGGTGGAATCGTTTCCGCGAGTTGACCGCAAACGAATAACATGGAATGTTTTATCGATCCGAGATATAAAAAACGAAATTTCATCGATCCTTTTCGAGATTCGAGCGATTTTCTCAGTTAAAAATAATGATTTCTAAACTTTTTAACGACTCAAAAGAAACGGGTGACGCCGTTCTGCAAAATGACGGGCCGGAGTGACGTTTAACCGACAGCCGCACGACGCGTGGGTTCGTTTTGAGAATATGATGAAATATGATAAAATAATCCCACTTTTCAAGGCAGGCGATAAGTCTGATCCCAGTAATTTCAGATCAATATCTATACTGTCAGCGTTAAGTAAAGTATTAAAAAAAATATTTATAATCGACTGCTTACACGCTTTTCGTTAAATAAATTACAACACAAAAATCAGTTTAGTCTTAGCAGAGGTAAATGTACCACAGGCGCTGGAATTGCACTTCTGAGACATATCTATGATGCTTAGGAAAATAAACAAAATGCTATCGGCATTTTTTGCGATCTGTCAAAAGCATTCGACTGCGTTGATCATGAAACACTGTTGAAGAAATTAGAGCATTATGGTGTGACGAAAAATTCACTTAATTTAATAAAATCATATCTTTCTGCTAAAATTCAAAAAGTAGTAATTAATGAAGCTAAATCTGCAGGGCAACCAATTACTATGGGCGTACCTCAGGGATCGATATTAGGACCATTACTTTTTCTAATTTACATTAATAATCTTGCTCATTTTACGAAGAATTTGTATTATTTGCTGATGACGCCTCTTTAGTGTTTAAAGTTAAAAGGGGTAATGATCGTTTTGACGATGTAAATGATACTCTCGACAATGTTCTACAGTGGTTTGATAATAATAATTTAAATACATAAAGTTTGCATTACCTAATGTGAGGCATGTTAATAATACACTTATAAATGTAAATAGTGAAAAAGTTGAGTTGGTGGAATCGACAAAGTTCCTTGGTATTACACTAGATTCCCGACTGCAATGGGATCTTCATTTTGATAACTTGTTAAGTAGACTGAGTTCTGCAGCATTTGCTGTTAAGAAAATTAGACTCTTGAGAAATGTTGAAACGGCAAGATTGGTATATTTTAGTTATTTTCATAGTGTAATGACGTATGGTCTAATGTTGTGGGGTTCTGCGGCTAGCATTCAAGATATTTTTACTCTACAAAAGAGAGCTGTCCGCGCTATATATAATTTACGGTCTAGGGAATTTCTCAGAAAAATATTAAAAGAAATAAATATTTTGAACGATTCAAAAGTACTTGTAATAAGCCTACTTGAATAAAGATCATTTCATTTCATTTTAAATATCGAATCGAATCGATCCTACCGAGATTGAATCTCGATAAAGTCCCCATTATGAGATCGATGTTTGCTCAATGCACGAATTGACTGATAAATTTGATAAATGAGACTCCTTGTTGTTATTTAATATTTATTCCTGTATTTGAATTCGACATAAAAGAAATTGAAGTGTGGGGGCGTTAGGCCCGCTCGACCACTTCAGGATTCACAGATTGAGACAGAAGTATCTATTTATTTTCAGATACTACACGTCTCTATACAGGAAGTTGACCTGTCCCGAGATATTCAACACCACCCACTCGGCCCTCCTCTTCTCGCTCATATACAAGTCGTTGAAACAGGACAAGAACATAAACAGGGTGGCGGCGTTCGTGAAGCGACTGCTCCAGTTGTGTTGCCACCTGAGCCCGGCGCAAGCTTGCGGCATCCTGTTCCTCATATCTCAAGTGTTGAAGGATAGCGATAAGAAGGAAGCTCTGACGTTAGTCTGCGCCCCGAAGGAAATCAAAGAGGTGAGTCGTTGCACAGACATAATTGCGATGGTTCCTTCGCACATGTGGAAAGAATGACCACAGATATTATAATGTCGCACTAGAATAGACACGTTAGTCAAACATTCCGAGCTCGAGTAATTTATCAAGCTGTTATTACATTTTGGAGGTGACTTCTTAAATAGTTGGTACTTCGATAACATATTTCCAATCTAGTTTTGTCTCGGACGTGTGCATTAAGCTTCCTCGGATAACAAATTGATGCTGGAAAGCAAACACGTAGTAACCCGAAAAACCAAAAGTGTTATTCAGAGCAGAAAATCTTTTATTTCTTTTCGAAAAATAATTCCTAAATGTCCATAGTAACAAATAAAGTGTTCCTTAGTCAATTTATACGGAAATAAGTTTCTTTTTTTTTGGAAAAATATAAAGATTATTCACTCCAAATGTCCATTTTGGTTTTGCAGGTTACTATGTGTTTACTTTAAATGTTTTTATATTTTTGGCTCATTGATTTATATTTTAAATTTTTCTGTGAACATCAGGAAATCAAAAAAGAAGAAACAGAGGTATCACCAGAGTCTGAACAGAAGGACGATAACGGAGAATCTAATAAAACAGAAGAAGGAGGTGACGGTAGTGTGATAAAAAATGAAAACCGCAAAATGGATCTTCTGAAGGGGGATAAGAAGGATCTTTTAATAGGTACTTACGCTTCTCTTTATCACTGATGCGATCCTCTGTCGATCTCTCCAGTCCGTCGGTACACTACCGACCTCTCGTATTACTTTTCTCTGTTCTAAAGCCGTTCCAGTCAATCGAACATCTGTTAAATGAAAGAAGTAATTATAGAGATCGCTCTATAATTACATTTTGGCAAACGTTATTAATTAATTAATTATGTGTTGCGTTATAGTATCGAGCGGACGGCGGTCGGGGCCCTCTATCGGACGCCTTTTCAATTACGGTCTCTTTTCTCATTGTGTACCTTCGGGGCTGGAAAACTTTAGACTGTTACACTTTATCTCTTTTGCTCAGACGATGACGAGGAAGAGAACTACGTAGATCTGAAGATAGACGAAGATGGCAACGTTAAACCGAAGAAACGGAAGCGGTGTGCGGGGAGCGCGGGCTGGCACCACGCGCGGGTCAAGCGGGAGCGCGGGGAGGGGGAGGGGGAGGAGAAGGGGCAGGGGGAGCGGGAGCGGGCCGCGGGGGAGAGGGAGGCCGCCATACAGCTCAAGCGGGCGATCAACGCGGACCGGGTGAGCCACTCCTTTACACCCTTATGGTCGGCACACGCTTATCGATTTGTCATTTATTATATGACATGCAATTTTTATAGATTAATTATAAATATACAAGCAAATAGTAATAGCATAGGTACGGTGACCGCCATCCTGCTTCAAATCGTACCGTTACTCTGTAAGTGTATTATAGTACATTACGATATTAGTGCGTTATGATGATTATAACATGCGAGGCGGAATTTCCGCAATAGAGCCGAGCATGTTATAACCAATACGCGTATATCGTACGACGTCTTTTAACACATTTGCGAGGAAACAGCAAAAAATCATTAAATAAACTCAATCTGTGATTGTACACTGTTGCTTTCCCGCCATTTTCTGCCTACTGAGTGGCGCCGCGCGGCGATTAGTTCGAAATTTGAATAGCAACAGCGCGCGAAATGGCAAATAATACTGTTATGGAATTTGTATGGACTATAACTTAACTATTTGCTTTGGTAACACACGCGTTATTTATGACCCGCTTTACATATTTAGAACCGGTGGAATTACATCAGCTTTACGAGTAAAGGTGTTAAAAATAATTGTTGTGATGGATCCTGTGATCAGGGGGACATCGCTTAATTATTGATAAAATGTACCAAAACATTATAGACACGCCCTCGGGCTGCGGTACAGAGGTATAAATTAAAATGTTAGAGGAGGGGTGACTATGTCATGGGATGGTATAAGTATGCGGCGAGCGCCCACCGGGAGGCAAGGCTTCGGTTTCGTTTGGGGATATTTGCTGGTAACCAACAAATGGTCATGTATTTTTAAGGCGAAATTAAAATTTTTGGATTAGTACTGGCAGGTTGCCTGTGAGGCCTAGTGTCCCGGCGAGCGAGGCAGGCTTTGCCGACCGTAGACTAATTGCGGATGCGTTTAAAAAACATTTTACTGTGCGACCGCCCTCGAGTGCCGCGTCTCGCGATGCAGCGGATGCTGAGGCTGTTGTGACGGGGCGGAACGTAAAAGTTCCAGCGAGAACAGTAGCCAAAGTTGCGGGAACCCACCTGCCTCGGGTGTTATTACTTTTTTACAACCCGTGCCTCGGTCAATCTTACTTACCAGAGCCGCTTATGAGGACGATAATCGTCCCTATTACAAAGAATGAAACTGGTGACGCTTCAGATATTGCAAACTTCACGAAGGAATTTCAACGGAAAGTGTCATTCTAAGTCTTAAACACGGTATACGCTTGCTTTCTTGATCTGTCAAAAGCGTTCGATCTCGTCACTTATAATATCTCATGAGACAGGGTGAGGAGCGAGGGTGTGCCGGCCGTTTATAGGTCTTCACAAATATTGGTATTCTCACCAGATAAACCGAGTGAGATGGGTCGATACTTCGTTTGAGGGATACCATTTAGAATGTTACTTAATCTGCATATGAACCAGCCCGTCGAGTGGCTGCGCAGCACACGTGTTGGATGTCGCATTGGCGGTATAATGCGTCAATAATATAAGCTATGCCGATAAGTTGCTGCGGACCTGCGAGATGTGTGCCGAGAGTACGGTACAACAGCGCTTTCGGGATGCTGTTGTAGTGTTCGGGAAATGTTTGCAGGGGTTTATACAGATGGCGATTGCTGAACGACCAGACCGGCCAATACAAAGACAATGGGTGGAGCTAGCATTAGGCTTAAGATCTAGTTATTACTAACTTACGACTAAACAACTTATGGACATCTGTAAAAGTCTGAAATAAAGTATTATATAAATACTAGCCTTTGCCCGCGACTTCGTCCGCGTGATATAGGTACTTTGGGCATCATATTTTCCAAAAACGCTGTTGTTTTTTAAGCTGATGATGAAATTGCCTTGATGTTTAAATTCGAGGATAGTACAACAGAATACCAACGAATGTCCAATATGTGTCAGCACTTTATCTTTGAAACTTTAGAGATATTAATCCAATTCAATGCAATTTGAAATAAAGATGAAAAAGAAAACAGTTCTGAAGTTTACACAAAACTTAATCGAAAACGTAATCTACGCAAAATTCTTCGAAAGAAACGTTACCGCAGATTACTTTAGAATAAACGCCATCTAGAACACAGCGCCATCTATTGGGTGTATGTGCAACTTAGATGTCAAACGATATTGAAGAATTTTATCTATGAATCAACGTACACTGCCATCTATGAGAACTTCATAAAACTAAACAGTAAATAAACACTTGCTTAAGAACCAATTAATTAGAACATTTTATTTGTGTACATTCACGACATAAGCGAATAAGTGAGATGATAACTATCCTATCCAGTAAGTTAGACCAAAATACGACTACATGTGAAATTTGATAGAAATCGGTTCAGTAGTTTTGGAGTTTATTGGCAACATACATCGTGACACAATTTTTTTTAAATATATAGATAACTAATAACCGGTATCAATAAGTAAAGCTTAGCTCCTTTTAAGTTTGAACTGAAGAGGTTTTTCATCGACAAGTGTTATTATTCTCTCAGAGAGATTTTGACGAATTAAAATGCATAATGTATTTACAAATTTTAATGTAATAATAATTTATTTCACTACTGACTCTTATATTTTAATTTAATATTCTAAATTATATTTTAAATCGTCCTACCCGATAGGATCATATATGTTCATGAGCAACTATGTTATTGTAACATCTATTTTACACATACATATATTTGACAATAAATGTGCGAGTATTGAGTATCATAATGTCTGATATTGGAAAGGTTCGTTCGTATCGAAAAGAGCCCGGGAGTTTAATACGTATATATATAATAAAGCACGTGGGCGTGGACGGGTTGCAGGTGGCGAGCGCGTACTCGCCGTGGAGCCGCGACCCGTCGCATGCGGGCGCCCGCACGGCGGCGGCGGGCGAGCTGCGGGCCCTCGCACGCCACCACCACCCCACCGTGCGCCTCTTCGCCGCCGCGCTGCTGCGACGTGAGTACCTCCAACATACGCTCGGGCCTCATAACACTTGACTGCGTTAGATTGCAGAAATCACTGATTTCGTTAGAAACATTTCTTTCTATTGCACTACTTTTTAACCGACTTCAAAATCTAAAAGGAGCAGGTTGTAACATTCGACGCCGATGTGTTTTTTTTATGCATGTTTTGTCGATTATTGAGCGATTTTCAAAATACGTAATTTATTCGACAGTTCGATGGACCGAGATGGTTCCATTTAAATTTTATCGAAATCGAATAAGATTTCCTTTTATTATTATTATTATTTTTTTTTTATTATCTTTAATATTTTTGGGGCTTTTGTCTTTAAAGCACGACAGCCCCACTTTTATTATTTATTTTATGACATGACCCATTTCAGCTAAACATCAAAAGATTGCGTTGATACGCATAATCTAAACAGAATTCGTTCAAGATCTGAAAGTAATATTATCTATGTTCAACGAATATACTTTACGTATATTTTTTCTTAGAATAATTACCAAAGCATATAAACCACGCTAATATTCGTATCTTTTTCCCTTACGACCCATATTAATGCGTTAAAAAGAGACGTTTAATATTAGTCATGTTTCAATTTATTTTGATTGTCACAAGTTTTTGCCAAACCATAGATTGAATGGCGCCATTAAATTAACAGGCTGACTTTCGATCGGCAGAGTAGCTGAACGCAACGTTCTACAATACGGCTGGCAAAGGTCAGCTAACTAATCGTTAACTATACTATTGGTAGCATTGGGAGCAAAAGAAAATAAATATTATAGTGGGTGATTTTAAATAAAACTCAAATACTCCCATGTTATCTTACGATCTGTAATCGAGAAATATACAGTACCGATCAAAAAGATGATAACAAACTGCTTATACGCGACTGGATGTTAATTAATGTTCAATAGGATCCAGTACAGGTAAGCTCACGTGCACAACAATAACGCAAGCGGTTAAGCTTTCATAATAAATAATAAAAAAAAATGATTTTTTACGATTTTGAAGTTCGGTGCTACAATAGTTAATAACAACAGAAAATGATAAACAACGAAGTTGTTTTCGTCGAACGAAATAAACTAGACGTAAAACTTGAAAAAATAGGGAAAGATATATTACTGCATATACATATCACTTTAAATTAGTTACATGAAATGTAAAAACTTTAATTATGACAGCTATAAACTTACAATCAACAGAATTATTATAAAAATTGCCCAAACGCCCATACAGTTTCTGCTACCATAGCACTGTGTGACGTTACTTAATGCCTTGAATTTATAGGGAGCGTTTAAAATTGCAGTAAAATATTGTTCGTGTGTATTAAAACAAGAAAATTGACTGCAAGCTTGGCCACGAAAACATTTAACAGGTAAATGATAATTAAAACAAATTATATTTAGTTAAATCATATATATGGTCAATCACACAACAAAAATATATCCTACTAGTATTATAAATGTGAAAGTTTCTTTGTTTGGCTGTTTGTCCATCAACTACGTAAAGTTTGCTACGTACATAACGCTTGTTGTATGGGAGCCCGCTTAAATATTTATTTTATTCTGGTTTTTGGTATTTATGAAAATGTCAACTGTCAAACTTTCACGGTTGATGAGATATAAGACTGGTGACAAACAGATAGCGACCAGAAAGGAACCCTAAAAATGAACCACATGACAATTTGAATTTGTTTCATTCAATTCAATGTATATTTCTTCCCTTACATCCTCGTTTTCAATTGCCTATCATGGCAGTTTGCCCGAAATTTATCCCGTTGGGGAGGCTTATTTTGAATTAGCATTATAATAATGACGGGAGACACCTTCCAATTGCTATTATTTTAATTTTTTTATTAAAAGGACAACTAAAATGCATTTGTAGTGAATTTCTTATTCTCTGCGCAATTAGATTGATTAATGATTAAAACTCAGAAAAGTAATCAAAACAAAATGTTGAAAAAAATGTTGAAACGATACACAGGCCAAATTAAACAATCCCTTTACGCGAACGCTACTCTTTTGATGACTTTTTAATTAAATCAGGTTGCGATAAGCAGCGCTCTCAATACCGTAACACATGCATGAATTTTAAACACACATACAAATATCTTCGAATCGCAAAATGTGTTGGTAAGCGCATAACTCAACAACGCCTCGACCAATTTGGCCAAATCTTTTTTTAAAATGTTCGTTGAAGTTCAAGGATGGTTTTTACGGCGAGAAAAATTAGAATTATTGCTGGAAAAACCCTAAAAATAGCCCTTTTCTTTTTCCCATACAAATGATTTGTAACTAAAACGTAGTCAATTTGAGCTTTATTGCTATGGTATAAAGTTCATATTAAATTACAAGCACTCACTGTTGTCTAAGCAATGTAGGTGTGTTCCTAACGTCAAAGATCATATCTATCAAAACAATGTGCGTGTGTGCGTTGGAGCACAGAATACATAGTTGGAGGAGTTTAATGTCGCGTTCCGAAACTCGCGTTTCTTTTGTATTAGTTTCGGCACGCGAGATAAAATGCATCAGTTTCCACGTCATTACATGTATTGCCGGAACATTGATGAAAATACGCTCTGTAGTAGCAAAGCTGTTGGGTCCTAGATAGCTCATTGGTTAGAGCAGTCCCTGGATCGCGAATGGGTTCGAGTCCCATTCCGGGGTACAGGTAGACGGATTCTTCCAGCATTTTTCCTTGAGAATGTTTATATATTTTTTTAATTCGAATAGTTTACTTTTATAATGCTGTTGTGTGTAATGTGTTTTTATGATCATAAAAATCTCTTTTTTCTATATTTAATACTATTACTATTAATACATTGCAATAATAATTATGATTCACATGATTAACAATAAAGCGATTACTTACTTTTAAATCCTTATATATGTTTTATTTAATTATTTTTTATTCACAACGCCCTATCACCAGGGTGACGGTTCTGTTCAGGAGAATTTTTTTAAATACGTAGGCAAAAAAACTGCCACATTACAAATCTTTTTGACAGGACAAAGTCTGTCGGGTCAGCTAGTCTATATATATAAAAATGAATCGCAAAATGTGTTGGTAAGCGCATAACTCAACAACGCCTCGACCAATTTGGCCAAATCTTTTTTTAAAATGTTCGTTGAAGTTCAAGGATGGTTTTTACGGCGAGAAAAATTAGAATTATTGCTGGAAAAACCCTAAAAATAGCCCTTTTCTACTGAGTTTGCTTTTGTCAACTGATACACGAAACAAATTCGTATATCGTGTTTTGTGCAGAGTGTTTACTTTGTTAGTGTTTGTTTAGTTCGTGATTAGTGAAAAAATAATTTATATTTGATATGCCTCCTATAAGACGAAGCAATTTAGGTAGAAGAACCAGAAATGCTTCAAACCAAGCTACAGGGTGACGGTTCTGTTCAGGAGAATTTTTTTAAATACGTAGGCAAAAAACTGCCACATTACAAATCTTTTTGACAGGACGAAGTAAAAGGATTGAAATAGGGAATCTAACTTTGTATGGAAGTTCGCCATTGTCTTAAGTGTCAGTTTTATTTTACATGATACAAATAACACATATTTGTTTTATCGTTTTTCTAATTGCTGCCCAAAATCACTAAACCACGCGCGCAAAAGTCAGTAAATACAATAAAATAGAAATAGTTTTCATTTGTAGAAATGAAAAAAGTCGACCGAATAGAGAGAGTGGTGGGTTATTGTTTATTTATTGAATTTGTATTGTAGTACAATTTATAGAATCGTGTGTATATGTGACATTAGTTTGGAGGACAACTTTGAATATAATGAACATTTGATATTGATGATTGTAAAATCAAATTTAAAATCATAGACAAAATAAAGGATATATGTTGCACGCGACTCGTCTACAACACACGGGTTCCTGGACACCCGCAGATTACTGAATACAAAAGCCTGCAAATGTTTTCAGATAATAAATAACTATCTGGATGCACATTTGTCCCACTCATTGTCACAAAACTAACCAACAACGCTTTACATAAGAAACAAATTAACAGATCCAACAAAAAAAAAGGAATAATTGGTGAATGTTTATTCGTTGAGTGAAACTTTAATAAAGTGACATTTTACTCAATTAATTTTTCCCTAAACGTATTATTGGACAACCTCAGAAGTTGGGGCATGCATTTAATTTAAACCAATATTATTTGATATACACTTAATTCCACACTGACTCACCGCTCATTAGCGTTACATTACTGCCAATGTTTTTTTATATTACCAACAATTAAACACAATACTTCCATAGTTATTCGCAATGTATCATTTTCAACACAATCAATGTTACTAATTTTTGTGTTTCTTCCATTAAAGTTCGTAAATTACTTATATTTAGTTTGTTTAATAATGATTAGCTTTTAGGAATACACAAACATATAGTTGACGACATTAGAAATTACTTTCGATAATTAGTACCCATTTGTATCAATGCATTTTAAGTCAATATCATACTTTTTAATACGTCGTCATTAACGTTAATCTTTTCTTTGTAACAATATAAATAAAATACAATATGTAATAATAAATCAGTACTTTTTACGAAAACAAGTACATTAATATGTGCGATCATGGAAATTATGTGTTTAAAATAGTTTAAAATAGTCAATACTACACTTATTAATTACAGTTATCATCATTTTAAAAGTATATCTTTATAAATCAAAGTAATAAGTATAATAATAACAGGCTTGCAGTATGATGTGATTTAATTACAGCTTATAAAGTATATTTATCTCAAATCTCTAATCGAAAAATTCGAATTACGAATTCAAAGACGATTCTATACAACAATATATACATAAAATTTAAAATAAAACTCATTATAGTATCGCCAACTGTATCATAAACTCATTATAGTACCGCTATCTTTTTTTATTCATTAAATTAGTGTATGGTTTTAGGCTGAATATGAAAAAAAGGGGCACGCGTGCGCAGTTCGAACTGTGAAAAAAAATGGCGCACGCATAAATTACTTCCTTGTAACCTACCTACTTTGTTTAATTTTAATTTTTCCTATGAGTGAAGATAAAGTAGTGTATGAAACTGCATATAACTTAGGTATTAAAACATTCGAGTCCACCTATTACCACAAACAGACTCTCGTGTTTAATAGCCCTTCTTATATGACAATTGCATAAACTACTATTCTTTTTACCCGACTGCGCGACGCAAAGGAGGGTAATGTGTTTATCAGTCTATGTATGTTTGTTTCTATGTGGCTTTCTAGAGACCAAATGCGTAGACCGATTTTGATGATTCTTACGTCAATAGATTCGTCTTAACCTTGCGAGTGTCACTAAAGACATGACAGTAATCAAAATTCACCTCAGTGACAACCAGACGCCATATTGTTTCAATGAAAAAAATAAAAATCGATGAACTATGTCAAGTGGGATGTCGTTGTGGGTATTTTAAAATCATCTTTAGGTTCCTTTTAACATTTTTCATTTTAAATAATAGTTTAGGATATATAACGATTTAAAGTTGTTTAACAAAACATTCTCGCTAATTTTCTTACTTATTGATTAAAGTTTTTATTTAAAATATAAACGATATACAAACAAAAAAAAAACAGTGAAAAAGCATGAAGAACAAATATTTTTGGTAAAAAAATAAAGCATATGTAGCTTTGAGCCGAGTTAGGTCTCTAGAGGGACTAATCATCAGTAGTTTAGACCACCGCAAGTTACTTAATAATCCCCACGATATTAACTCCCTCAATGAAATGACTAGATTGCGAAATTTACCATCTTATAACGAAGTCAACGAATCGTAACTAAAAAGTATAAAATAAAAATAAATAATTTAAAGAAAAACTAAAATCCCGACTGCGTAAAAACGAATTTTAAAAAATAAATGAAAGTATTAACTTAAATAAAAACTAAAAAGAAAGAAACAAGCCCAGTTGTTTAGAATTCTGTTAAGTAATACAGAACAGAACAACTGACAGTCGGAGCCCATTCAAATTTTACCAATCAAATCTTCCCCGACTGTGAGTCGTTCTGTTCTGTATTACTTAACAGAATTCTAAACTACTCGGTTTGTTTCTTTCTTTTTAGTTTTTATTTAAGTTAATTCTTTCATGTATTTTTTTCACTATCAACATGAAATTAGCGAATTTCTTCTGTTTATAAATTACCGAAAATTAGTTATTTCTATTCTTCTACGATTTCAAAAAAGAAGGTTATCAATTCTACATAATGCTATATTATTATACGAGGGGTTATAAATATATGATTGTACTGTGAATGAAAATTATGTTTCTTTTTATGTATGGAAACAGGATTGGGTCACTTTTTGTAAATCTAAGAAATTAGTAAGTGCACGTGTTATTTTTCCCCCTATTTGTTTTTTTTTAAAAAAGCTATACTAGAATTATTATAATCGGACGGTGTTATGATTATTCCCGAGACTACCTATATAGTAAATTTACCTACCTAATTAAAATGATCCAGCAAATAATAAAATAACAGAATTCAATATCAATATATAAAGTTTATTCAGTTTATTTACAAGCACTCGTGAATGTCGACAAGCTACGCCATCGGTTCGTAAGTCTACGGCGGGAGACCTTGTACTGAGAAGAACCGGCAAGAAACTCAGCAAGGGCTGCTTTTTTCTCCCTCTTATGTTTCATACAGAATAGTTACACAGTAAATTAACTCGCTAGATTATGTTGAAATACAAAGTAAAGAAAAATATACTAACTAAACTCTACAAATTTTAAGAGAGAATGGAAAACCCAACTAATTACAATAATGTAAAAAGAGAAACCAAAAAGAGTATTAAAAAAACCTACTAACTAAATACAAGAATATAAAAATAGAATTGAAAAAAATACTAACTAAACACAAGACTACAGAAGAATATTTGAAAAAAAAAATATAACTAACTAACGAATACAAGAAATAGAAAAGGCAGATTAAAAAAAACTAACTAAATGCAAGACTATTCAAAGAAAATTAAAAAAAATTACAACTTACTAACTAAATACAAGAATTTTTGTAAACAATTGAATAATTACTAACTAATAAAAAAAGTATTAAAAGAGAAATGTAACGTTATGTTAACGTGCGCCGCCCCCGTCCCGCTACGGGCCACGGTCCACGGGTTGGCCCACGTCACAATAGCTAGGCTCATTTCTACCATCTAGCTATCCTGAAACAAAAACAAAACATTATAAACGAACCTAGGAATAAATAAATATTTTCTATATGCACTCAAAAAATTTTTTAAACGACAAACAAAACAGAGTGAAAAACGTGAAAAAATACCTATGTAGCAAACAAAACAATATTCTTACTTTATATCGTTCGGTCTCGGACAAATCAGTGTTTCACCTCATGAATGCCCCCAGAGAAGATCTGAAAAAAAAAAAACCAACTATAAGAACAATTAAAGAAAAAGATGTCTCGAGATCAATATAATAGAAAGATGCTTCTAGAATTAAATTTATTGAATAATTTTACTTTTTTATTCAAGCACCTACAAAAACTCGATTCAGAAGTAGGTATCGCAGTCGAGGGTGGATAGGAAAATTTCCATTATCGCGATACTAATTTCAAATAAAACATTAATCATATAAATTAGTCTATCGAGTATCGGCTAGACAGAAGACCTGATCTATACCGTTTTAACATTCGAAACGGTTAAGAAAAACATAAAAAATAAAAGGTGGACTGAAATTCAAGAACATAGTGGTATATCGAAAACAAGTTACCTGCGTCACCGGTCGGCGCACGTCGGACAGAACCATTTCCCGTCTGGCGCCTCGGTTATACCTACGCAGGTGTAATGGTACCACTGGTACGCACAGTGGTCACCATCGCACCCGATCATGTAGGCGTCGGGGACCTCCCTGCCGCAGGAACAGTAAATACTTTCCCGCGGCTGTTCCGAGTCAGAGTCAGAGTCAGAGTCGAGCTTGAGCTTGAGCTTGAGCTTGAACTTGACTTGAGCTTGAGCTGAGCTTGAGCTAGAGCTGGTGCTGTAGGTGGCGGTCTCCACATCGGCGTCAGGTTCGTCGCCGTACACCAGGTCATCGTACGGCAGTACGTTGCATATGTGGAGCGCGTACTGCCACCTCCGCACCGGGCATTTGCCGCAGCTCTGACTCTCCGTTCCGTGGCGCCAGAACAGGTGGCACACCAGGTCCCGGTACAGCTTGTATTCGGTGGAACAAGCGCCGCACTCGTATTTTCTCATCCCTGCTACGTCTACGCCGGCGGTCCTCATCGTAGTTTTTTGTAGAAAGAAGTTGACGTGAATGTGAACAGAGTGTGCGGCCTTCACGTCGTCCGAGCTGTACTGACTTGGAATGAGGACGCTTTCGTATTTATACCTGTGTCAACGGTCACGGGAGGGTCGAGAAGGGGTAAGTACCACGCGCTGGACAATGTAACCCACCTTATCGAGGTATTATCCATTTTGAATAAAGGGCTACTTTGTTTACAGCTTTCTACGAATGTGAATAAGTTTATCCCAATTAGTTGTCTATTTTTATGACACCCGTATGGTGGTATTGTTTAAGGCGCGTCCGTTGTATTGAACGCGTGAAACAATAGTCCCACGAAGCTCCAGGTAGGAACGATCGGTAAGCTCATTTGTTGAAAGATTGCAAATAATAATTTTAAAAGAATTTAACACTTGGTTATATTGTACAACGCGGTAGGTATTTTCCGTTGAACTATTTTAATACTGATGTGAAACTTTCACCTGTTTTCAAATATTATTTTAACAATTTTAAAAAATCTTTTCCGATCTTTTAATATAGGAATTAATCCAACGACATTTTCTTTCGGATTATTAGTAAAAAAAATAAAAAATCCTTTAATTTCTCAATGGCATGATAAGCAAAATACATAAATGGCATAATAAAGTGATTTCTACGTATTTTCACGCTGTTACTTATGTTACTTCCATGAAATATGTAAATCTTCATAATATTATATTTGGAAACTCCTATTTTTATATAACACGGACAATAAATATTTAAAAAATATTTGTAAAAAAAACCAATAATATTAACAATGAAATACGACTTCAATCGATATTACTATATTGCGTTAAGTATATTTTGTTTTGAATCCAATGAAAATTTCCATGGGAATATTACATACCAATAGCCTTATAATTATAATTATCTTCATAAATAATTATTTATGAAGCAAACACACATATAACACGCAATATATGCAGCAGACTTTTGAGTTAAACACTACTAAAAATCATTAAAATCCACTCAGAAATACTTTAAATAAAAGTTTTATCATATTAAACTACTAAAAAAAAAGTAAAAAAAAAATCCTGTGAATTTTTTAGTTGGATTTCAGTAATTTTGATTGTCACTATGATAAATAAAACCAAAATTTGTGAAAAAAGTCGTGTTAGTAATTTTGCGTGAAGGAAATGAAGGTTTTTGACTTGATGTTTTTTTTATACCTTCCGTAGCGAAAATGAGATGGATTCTTAAATATAGTCTCTTGCAATTGGCTCACAAACTCGATTAAAAATATTCCAGGCTTATATCGAATTATTTCCGTTTTTGTCGTATTAACTAGAATCATAAGTTACTGACTGTAGAAAGGAAATACTAGAAAAATGTTTTATGATATGCAGGAGGTCTAGAATATTTTGGATTTACTTCAACTGTATTATTTAGTCATACGTAATCTAATTATTACACTGTCTTACAAAATTTTTATTTATATCTGATGTATAAGCGTGAGTAGCTCGGTGGCTTAGTGGGTAAGCGCCGCAGCCCGCGATCATTGTTGTTAAGTAACTTTCGCATGGGTCGGTTACGGGATAGGTGACCAAAAAATTATTATCCTGAGCTACTTAGAGCTTTGGAAGGCACGTTAAGCCGTCGGTTCCTCTAATCCATATTGAACCAGCGTGGAGGATCATGGCCCGTCCTCCTTAACCACCCATAAGGAAGGCCTAGGAGCCCCTGCAGTGGGGACGGAAAAGGGCTGGTGATGATGAAAAAGATCCCAAACAAGAAAAGTTATTTTTTACTAATTTCCGGTAACGAAACCATCGTGCGCTAGTCCAAGTGGCGCTTGGCCGGTTTTTTTATTGTTCAATATAAATAATTTAAAGTACCTTTGATATAGAGGTATATACCTTAGACTTTTTATTTTATTCATCCTATAACCTTCCTGTTTCCTGTTACCTCTTCAAATAAATAGTGTTGGTTTTACTATAATCTACGATTTCGACCTCATCTTTCCGGCGAATAACCATGACAAATGTATATAAGAATATAAGAACAATATATTTAAACTAACATAATCCTTATAAAGTACGTATATTGAATATATGTAGGTAGGTTTGTCGCAGTTGTAGATTTTATTACAAAAAAGAAAAGCCTTTTCCGACACTCCTTGGGTCGAGCTTTCTCAACGAATGGATTCATCAATATCGATCCACTATCGACGAAATAATTATAATACGTACGCAAAAACAATATCTTCAATAATAATAATCTTTACTTGCGAATAGCGTATTTACGACTACCTACTTTTTGAAGTCGGTTATGAACTTTACATAAATAGACGACATCTTAAAATTATGTAACATTTAAAATTAAAACTTAATTTTCTAGTAATCAATGTGTAAGCGTTACGAGTATAGTGCTTCCACTGTAACTGGTTCACACTATTATATATGTTTTATTAGCTATATTTTTGTTTACAGAACAAATAATCCATTATAGCGGCGATCCATTAAAAGACTTCGCCGGCATCCGGTTCCTCGATAGGTTCGTGTTCAAGAACCCCAAACGTCGCGTCGTCCACGACGACGACCACCAGGGAGTCAAGAAGGTGAAGGGCTCCCACCCCAAGTTCGCGATCAGGAAGAATTACGTGCCCAGAGGTATGGGTGCAGCGGTGCACTTTAATATAACATAAAAACTAATTTTGATTGATTAAAAAAACTATTACGTTAATTATAAGTCATAACGTATATATATGTATTAATTTGAATTACTAACGTGAATAATTAAAAATTACAAAAAATATTTAGGTGCATACAATACGGATAATACTTACTACTCTCATAAGCGTAAAATTGGTACCTGTATATCTAAATAAAATATATATTTTTTTTGGTTTTAATTACATTAATTACCGGATAAGCTATCCGACGTATTAATAATATACGATTTATTTTATCATATAAGTTCCACCAGGCTGATGTATTTATTCCGTGTTTGGACGTTGTGATGCAGGTCTGAAGAGTGTTGCGGTGAACTCGGCGTCCTACCTCAACGAGGACGCCAAGAAGATACCTGTCGATGAGAAGTTTTTATACGAGTAAGTGATCTGTTAATTATATTACGTCAGGAGTGACAATCGGTCTGTTCATGTTCGGGGAGGAACGACGGTGATTTTGATCTTCAGATTCAAGAGAAAAGAAAAGAAATAAATTTAAATCTTTCAGGGTCAAGGTCGCAAAGCGTTCACTAAAAACTAGCCGTTGTTTCTTGCGACTTTGTTCGCGTAATATATAGCCAACGTCCCAGATGCATCATGGAGCATCCCGGAGGAAAGGGTTTGAAATATTGTATCCCATTAGTGTTTTTTATATCGAAGTGTATTTTTAATCATGAAGGTCTATTTCAATTAGGGCGGTATCGCGCCCGGCGGCCCAATTTTGGTTCTATTCACTTCCGTCATTTCAGGACTAAAATTACCTGTCCTGTTGCAGCTTCCTGCAGCAGCGGCGCGCGGCCACGCGACTCGATGCGGATGGCGATGGCGATGAGGACAGCGACGCGGCGTCCGTCGCCAGCGAGGACTTCGAGCGGTACCTCGACTCGCTGACCGGCGCCCCCCCCGCAGGTGCCTCATACTATACATAACACGTAACATAGAACAGACGACCTATAACGCGGGATAATATATATCAATAAATATAAGAGACCCGCGGGCGAAGCCGCCGGCGGAAATCTGGTCCTGTTGCACTTATAATGAAACTCTTGAAAAACTAATGAAACTCTCTTATAATGAATGTTGAAGGTGATCGAGTAAAGTCGGCGTTCGGATCATGGACGGTTCCGTCGGAGTTCGAATCTCGGCCCGGACACCTGGAACTGTCATTTTATGTTTTAAATGAGACTCCCCGACTCCGATGGAGGTTCTGGTTTCGATTCCTCTCCGCGGTGATGTAATGCCCGCGCACATAAAAAACATAATAAATAAATAATATATTATCGTAGCGGCCGACTCGGACGAGGAGTTGGACTACCTCGGGGAGTTGGAGGCGGCCAAACAGAAGACGGTCGTTCGAAAGAGGAAAGCGGCCGCCGACGACCTGGACCAGCTCGACGACGACCTCAGCAACGGCGATGAAGGTGACCGACTTTATATACTACACTTTATTTCTCCCTCACGATTCTTCGACGATATCACGAGCCCGACGAACGTTCTCCGATCGAAATAAACTTTTGTCTTTGAAAATTAAGTTCGAAGTCGACAGATCGGACAGTAGATCGGTATGCTGTTGTTTTAAAAAATCTTTCTAAATAGGAATTAATAAATATATAGTTAATGTTGGAAGTGTTGTTAGCACACGCCCGGATACCTGGTGCTCAATACAAAGTAGGAGATATGTTTATATATTAACTGACAATCGTGACGTTTGTCGGTCGTCATTTAACACAACGACAATTTTTTATTCAAGATTTGTTATATTACCTAGCACATAATTTATTTATTGAAAACACAAAACAAGAAAATAATAAGCATTCGGTTGTCGGTCGACGCGCGCGTGACGTCATCAAACCCCCCCCCCCCCCCCGCGCGTAGCCCTGAACCCGGCCTAACAGAGGTCATTGTTGGTGCAATTCCATTATTTATTAAACAAAACACCCGCATCGGACGTTTTGCAACTATTGTGGGAATGCGTATTCAAAAGAAATAATCGTATAATAGTTTGTATACTTCTTAGTATTTCGTAAACGAGCGAGATAACGTACTAACAAAATAGTAAACAATGGCGTCCGTTTCCGGCTTCGGCACCTTGGAAGTATTTTATGTGTATTGTTTAATAATGAAGAATTATTGTTGTTGTAATTTGGAACCATTTTTACATAAATAAAGGTGTTCATAAAACTATTACGAGCTAAATGCAATGGTTTCCAATATCGGGACGCCCCCTGGCTGTCTTAGATTAAAATATACCGTTCAATAAAGTCTTAATTTAGTGAAAAAATTCGAAGTAACTTGGGGGGGGGGGGGGGAAGATGTGTCAGGCCGCGCCTCCCGGGACGTCCCCGTCCTAGGAAGCCTCTCCCTAAATATTGTCTGGGCACCGATTATCCTCGCTCGATCTGGAGACTTTTTTAAGCGTCACAAAATTGCTTCAAAATCAATGCGCTTGTTCTGCTCCGGTGTCAGATAGCCGCCTGAAACAATATATTAAATTACGACCACAAAACATAAATTATTTTCTCTTCATATGTGTACTGCACATTAATATACAGTTTAATAATTGTCATCGTGTATATAATTGTAACAGATGATGATGATGGCGACCTGGTGATGTCCGGCGATGACGAGGAGCCGTCGCTGTCCGGCGACGAACGAGACCGAGGTAAACACTGCGGCAGGGATTATTCATTAACTACAAAACTATTCGTTTTTTAAAAGCTCCTAGAGTGCCCCAGGGCGCCTCTATCTTAAATTCACTGAAATTATTTTGATATATTTAATCGTATCTCTACATTCGTCTGGGGAAATGTTATGATCCAATTGTAATTTCGACATGTTCTGGGACGTAGCGATATCTCTTATGAATTCGATCCGCTCTCTGTTGTGACGGCAGCCCTACGATATTTATTAATTACTTTATTAATTATATATATATATAATTTTTGCTGACGATTTTGAACGCTATCGTTAACGTGTTAAGGTTTTTCATTTCGAGTGCAAAATTTCCACTGATTCGGTGGTGTGAGTGATGATTCGTAGGAGAAGAAGGAAATGAAATGAAATGAAAATGCTTTTATTCAAGTAAGCTTGTTACAAGCACTTTTGAATCGTCCAAAAATATTCTTTTTATTCGTTCGTGTCCATTCCATCCAATCTGATAGCTATCAGAAAGAAAGAAAAAAACTTATTTATTCAGTGACCATGCAAGAAAAAACAAAGACAAAAAGGATTTAATACTAAATGACACTGAAAAGGCGGCCACTCAGCATATGTCGGATGTCAGACAGCCAGTTGCACAAACGTTCATTATAAATCTCGTTACTTTAACGCCACATTACCCATACAAATATTCAAATTTGGAACATTCATTAGAGCTTAAAGTCGTCATTAAACTTTAATGGACGTTTGTGCAACTGACCTTTAGACAGTCCGACGCTGATGTTCCGTGGCAACCTTATGTTCTAGAGAGCACCACCACGCCCAATGCGCTCGTATCGCACCTCCGATGTACAAGTTTTATATCGTATACTATCCGTGTGTGCAGGCGGGGACAATCTCGGATCGCTGTTTGCGTCCGCCGAAGAGTTCTCCACTCTGTTGGAGGAGAGCGCGACCAGTTGGAAGCAGGGGTCGAGTGGAGCCGTCTCCAACAAGGACAACTCCAGCCTCCAACAACTGGCGTGGGAGGAGAAGCGGGATACGTGGATAAAGGGGTTTAATAAAAAAGGCGGCAAATATAAACGGAAAAACAAAAAGTAAACGGAGGCGTTTATTTTATAATGTCATTTATTTAATAGCTTTAAACCTCCAGTTCTGTCAGGGCGTCGCTCCGACGACGGGCCCCTCTGAAACTGATATCGTTCTATGTGTGCATAAGGTTTAGTTCTCCAAGTAAGTAAGTATACGTAAAAAAATTGTTATTGTGGGTTATCCTTGGAATATAGACATATACCACCGCGGACTTGTTTGTAGATCTATTAAAGAGGTACAATTCCACCAAACAATGTTTTGCTATAACTCAAAAGTTTTTGGCAGCGTTTTCGAGGAAAGCTTCACATCGGCTTTATTTTTTCCGACATATTGAACTAATATCGTTGTAATATCGTCAGTTTGCACAAAATCTAAAACCTTTCTCAAGAATTGCTCTATCTATTGTTGAAAACCGCATGAAAATCCGTTCTATACTTTTCGAGTTTATTGCGAACAAACAGACAGACGGAAGCGGCGGGGGACATTTGTAGGCACACCTTTGTTGGTTGGTGTTTAATTATATTTTTATTTAAAAATCAGAATTTTTAATGACAGTGTTCCTAAATATTAATTAGCGTTATTAATGTTTGCGTAACGTTTGATGTTAATTCGTGTCTCCTTTTTTATTATATTGCTATTTTATTCCTTTTTTATTATATGCTGAAGCGTTAGCTCTGTTCATCTTTCTTTGTCTTTATACGTACGTTGGATTTTAGCGGGCGGCCATAGCGGGGGCAGGCGCTGTGACCGTTCTGGTCTTGTACAGAACGGAAAGATTCATTCTGTACATTTCTTTATTAAGGTCTTTCAATATATACAAAACTAGTACGCAAATATTCCCGTCTATACATTACAAGTACGCATACGAACTTATCGTGTATAGATCGGAATAAGTGCGCCGACCTCTAAACTCCAATCTACACGCGAGTAGATTCAAATGTATCAGTACACATGACTATTGATAATGTTACTCGTACAATGTCAGAACAGCCGCCTGCCATTTTAAGTTGTCGCGATTCCGATTCAGTGTCTGAAGATTCCGTTTTTCTTGAATGAATGAAGAACTTTGACGAAGATATATTTGAAGAAAAATATTCGAAACCTATTCATATGTTGATTAATAATGCTCTTAAAAATGTTTTTACAGACCAACAGGTTTAAAATCTTATATTCAGTGGTTTTAAAGGACTCGCCTGCGAGTACGTGTTCATCCAACATATGTATAAAGACAAAGAAAGACGACGCATGAACAGGGCACACGCAGGCCAACCATTAGATTCAGCATAAAAAAAAATAACGAACTGACATCAAAGGTTTCGTACATATAAATAACGCTTGCTAATTAACACTTAGGAATACTGTCATTAAAATGATTGCTTTTTAAATAAAAATTTAATTTAACAGCAACCAACACAGGAGTGGTAGTTTATGATGCGACTTTGGAACGTAGCGACAGATGGTTCCGCTACTCGGATCCCAGAGTAGATGGTGTTGTGGTGTGCCTGTTAATAGTTCCAAGTATTACTGAGGTGAAAGACGTGGAAGAACACCTGTCACTTGACTCTAGGTATATCCTGCTCTACACGCATACTAGAGCATATACCAGCTTCCCTTCACCCATTTTCTTTATTAGAAAAAAATGTATTTATTTTCATTTACTGTCTACACCCATAGTGAAATAAAAACAAAGTTTTTATGGTCGAGAAATTTATTCAAATAAATAATTGTACGCGATTTTTTAAACTTCTTTTTCTTGCCTCGAACTTTGTCTAATTTTGCTTCTTTCCTTTTGCCGCCCTTTTTACCGTCCGCCATCTTATTGTAACTTCTGAATCCATTTTGTTTCTGTATAGTTTTCACAAGCTGTTAGTTTGAAATCATATGGTTTCTGTCTAAAGATATTATAGTCTATTTATAATAAAATTAAAGATTTAAACAAATATGTTGACTCATTTTATTTTCCTTCTAATCATTCCTAGCGTCGGCTCAATGAAACTTGGCGGCTTAGGCAAATCATTGGAACGAAGCCCATTGAAAAGCACAACAAAATAAAATACTAATGTAGGGAACAACGGAAGTGTGATTTTGCCAATGGCAAAATAAACTCTTAGTCTGAAATCTCGTTCTTTTGAATACCACGAACATGGACTCGTCTTCAAACAAAAGTAAGTATTTTGAGGTTCAAATAATTAGAGCAAACATAATAATCTGTTTGGCATGCTATGCCGCCTACCAATATTTGTATCGAGCACACCCTACACTGTTGTAAGTACGAGCGCCCTAGGCTGTTGCATAGTTTGCTATAGGTATTGACGGGCCAGCCCGGATCTTTCCAATAACGATTTCTCAGAACAAATGCTTGACAATAACAAAGTTCGAAGCGACGAAACGCAAACGTTTGCATTTTCCTGCTGCCGTGACTTGTTTGTAGATAATAAAAGCTGATGTCAAGGGCGTGCACGCAAATATTGTCCGTATAATCTTTACAATTCCCCCGATTATACTTATTAGTAAAATATCGGTTAATGTGACGGGCGTTGGGCGTTAAGTCAAAACACGATCGGTCATCAATATAAACGCGGAATTTGCTGAACGAGCTATAAAATTTCGATGTTCGCGCGCATTCTGCAGAAACTGGCCGGAACTTTGTTTGTTGACATTGCTACCTCATGTAGTTGTGTGTGGCTACGCGCCATCGCGCCGTATCTCGGCAATTCTCCGACAGAAAATCATTGAAATCTACTCGAAGAACAACCAAAATCTACTCAGTGTTGCGTTAATCGTGAACCGCACGAATATAGCCCTAACAAGAAATTATTTCCTGTGATAGTGAACGAACACAGTGACGAAATCTATGTGAATGTGATTAATTGAGCTATTTATAGCCTAACCTACATGACGACTATGCTGTTTTATACTAGATTAATCAAATAAGATATAAAATGAACGTCGTATTACAGTTGTGTTGTAGAAAGACGTATTAAATTTTTAGTAAATCATTTTCTATGAAAGAAAAACGAAACCGCGAAACTAGTTTGACAGCTCACGGATACACACTTGCATAAGAAGCGAACATATTGCGCATGTGTGCGGCGAGTGATGTGAACTTCTTGCGCTTATCGATTACCAAGATAATTTCAAGGTCACAAATCGAGTCTGAATGCTCACAACACATAATAATACACATTAATTTACTTGTTATTATATTATTATTATTTACTTACTAAATTTAACAAAGTGAAAAATAAAATGGAATCGGCTATTATCGAAAGTAAAACAGAGCGCATGTCAATAAGGACATCAACAAGTTCCAATCAGCTGTACATCGCTGAGAACTTGGAATTACCTGATGATACATTCCGTATAAGCCTCGACAGTATGTCGGCTGTAGGCGAAAATGTCACAATTGGGGAAAGGGACGTTTCAATTGATGTTATAACCGATGAAAACATTAATACCGATATCATTAACACGCCGGTAGCTACGCCCGAAATAGAAACTGAAAATAAATCTCTTTCTTTGACTACAACACCAAAACTTGTAGAAGATGCGTTAAAAGTTTGTCGACCACAGAATTTATTAAAGTTATCTCTTACTACGAAAAGAAATGATAATATATTTGTGAAGCCGTCTCCCGTGGCGGAGGTCATGTCGCCCGCTAGAATGTTGCAATTCGAAGTCGATACAGCGACCAGCAGTACGCCTACTATGAAGAGAGCGGCTGTTGATTTTGACTTTTTCAGTAAAAATAACTTTGAACAATACTTTAGAGACAAAGCTGACGATGTCACTGATGAGAAATCTTTTGAAGTTACACCAGTCATTGTGAAGGCTGACACGGTGCGACACGAAATAGGCTACGGTAAGTAAATTCATCCGGTTTGTATTCTTACCAACTTATATCATTAATATTTATGTTATAAACTTATTTATTAAATGACGTGCTTTGAGTAATCACCAAAATGTAATTCATTATGTTATATTACAAATTACTACTGAAACAGGAAACATATTCAGATCTTAGTATTTAGATCACAGCAATCTATTTTGAACTTAAGCATTTAATAACTATGGTTTTAAATTCATTCAAGAGAATGAATGAATTTTATAAAACCTAACGTGCTTTTGACTGTGCTTATTGACATTTTTTTACATTTTGGCAACTGTAATCTGTATGTAGTCTTATAATAACTGATGTAGTCTTATTACTGTCTTACTGGTGGTGTAGCCACAACATAAATTGAAAGTTTAATGTTAGTTTATTGAATTAAAATAAAGCGAAGAAATCACAACTTGTCCAAATATCGACATAAATTTCTTTTTTTTCTTTTCTTAATTTAGATATTCACTACATTCCTTGGTATTATGCATGTGGTTATGTCTTTTCGGATGACGGACGTCGTCACTATAGGCCCTATAGTATTTGTGTATGTCGATGTAATTAAATGTTGGACTATAAGCACAAATTGTTTGAGGAAAATATTTTAATTTAATGATAGTAGCCTGATATGCTGTTGTCTGTACATATAATTTGGCTGTGAAACTTGACCTTCCAACGGTTGGCACAGATTCCACGTTCCCGCGGAACTTGTAACCGCCGACTTGTGTGTTGATGTTGACAAAAAATATTTCACTGGTGTTTATAACTAACTACCACTTAAATACAATACTGGGTCTCCTCCACCCACCCAGAAAATGCTCCAACGGGGGAGTTCAAAATGCAATCGCGATTAAGAGGTCGTCTTATCTAAAAACCACTAGGTAAATTGATATTGAAAGATGAAATTAAGTACCTATACATAAGTTGAAAAAATGGGAAAATCTACATTCTCTGTCTCGATGAAAAAATCCATTGCCGTCTAGTGTACTTTTTTTCTCGTGATTATTATACACCTTTATGACAGGCGAAATTAATTAAAGTAAGTACACAACCCAAGTAGGTACTGTAACGTCCGTGCACATTACTGCTGCATTAGGTAGGTCAATGCTGGCCGCTAATATTTTGAATTATTACTTTTCCGTGTTCGAAACCCACCCAGGGAATGCTATCTCGCGTGATTGGGACTCCGGCGAGATCTCGCGAGTTTATGAATATCAATACCGCGAGATCTCGCGAGATTGGCACCTTTGTGTGTTTACTGTTTTACTGTAGTATTTATTCAAATCACAATATTTGAATAAATTAGGAGAAAAAAATAGGAATTATATGTATTATGAAATAAACATTTATTTTTACGGGTATTTTCAATAATGTTTTATGTATTTAACAGTGTTTGACGCAATTCTATTTTTTATCTATAACCTTCAAAAGAACAATTACTGTTTTATAATCTCTGAAACGGCTCCTACAATTTTCATGACATTAAGTGTGCAGAGGCGATAAATTAATTTAGGTTTAATTTTTTATTTTATAAAAGTGCCGAGTAAAGCTTAGTCATCCAGGTACTGATCTTTTAAGAAACTAAACTTTGACGTATCTAATCAAATACAAATTAAATAAACAATCAATCTTCTCTGCTAATATCAAACAACGGTTTAATTATAATACACAGCTTATTTTTAAAAGTTACAAAAACTAAAATAAAACTTATTAACTAAGTTGAATTTACTATTAAATTGAGATTATTATCAATGAAAGATAATCTATGTGTACCCAGAGATCTGTTAGAACTTAGAGAGTACATTAACAAAATATACCTATACTATAAATATATTCTTAAGAAACACAAAATGTCCAAAAAATCTTTGCTATTAGTCTTATTATTGTGCTGGCCAGATAACCAGCCACTGAGAAGACCCTTTTGAAAACACACGTACTGTAAAAGTGTAAAACATCGCCTTTTAACCCCCCGGACTCGCATAAATTCGCTCTGTCGCACTTAGAATAAATCGTTTTTATGCTCGAGTGTAATCTCGTGAAACTCGCGAGATCTCGACCATTTTTCTACTGAGATCAATCTCGCTTAAAAACGCCGAGATCTCGCGAGAACGAGATTGCATTCCCTAATCCAACCATTAGAGTACCTACTATGTACGTGAATCACTTTGTACCGAGGGTTGTGCACATATATTCGTTCATTAAGATACTTCATACATTTTTCTTTATCACTATATGTAGTTATTCATAATACATAATACTCGTAATATCTGTATTTTTTATTGAACCCTGCCTGTGTATATCACAGATTAGTGAGCTCAATAACCTTCCTTTTTCTTGTTTTTCGTGACGAATTATTTAACGATTGTTTAATTACAATTCAAGCTTAAAATACGAAAATTTCAATAGT